CTGTAGAAAAGGTCCTGGGAACGAGAGTGACTAATACGACTGTAGATAATGGCGCAAGAGTGACTTAATGCAATTATTCTCACTTTGAATTCATTCCCGATTGATCGTGTCCCTGTTTTCTTTGCCAGTCGACAGGGTTTTTTTTTCCTTTCCTGTTTCTCCATGGGAACTGGGTATACATTAAGCCCTCAGGTGAGTATTTTAGGAAAAGCCGTCAGTTAGAAAGAGGGAGAATTTACTAACAAAGATGACACAGAAAAAGGAAAATATTGGGAGGGTGAGCAGTGGCTGTTGTCAGTCTTGATGTGAGAGAGGCTTTGCATGAGACAGAAGTTGTCTTTCTGGANTACGTGAGAGTGAATGGAATGCAGTCGGAAGCTTCCTTTTGCGACGTTTGTAGTGCAAAATGTCGATCAATAAGTTGGGCGCGGTGGTAACCTGCTTGAACGAAAGAATCAGGGTAACCACGTGTATCGAAATACTGGCACATTGACTCTGATTTGTGATGGAAATCCGTCATCACTACATAAACGACGAAGAAAAAAATAGTTTGGTTTCCTTCCATGTAAATAGGAGAACGGAACGGAAAAGTTGAAACTCTTATGTTGACTATGTTTCTTTTTCACTGAAAAAATTACAAAAAGTTACAATGGCGTATCAGAAAAATCTTTCCCATGAAATGAAGTTTTTAAAACATTTAAACTAGGCAGTTTTCTAATCTCTGAGGGAATCCTGTTTCACAGTGTAGGCTCCCTTTTGCAGACTCAGTTCTGGGTCTGGGGACATAATAATTTAACTCAGGATTTCTAAGATTGTGTGAATGTGCATTTGAGACGTTGGTAAAGATCCGCTTCAGATACGATGGGGATAGATTATTATGGATTTTATACATTGTCACAGCCAACTGTTTAAGTCTTACATATTCCAGCCTTTCCCAGCCAAGTTCATCCAACAAAATACCTGAGCGAACGTCATAATTAGAAAAGGTGAGAATTCTAGCAGCCCTATTCTGCAGCTTTTGAAGTTTGTTTGCTAGTCCCTTATTGATATTACCCCATACAGCACCACAGTAATTAAAATATGGCATCATCAGTGCATTGTACATGTTCACTCTAGTATCAAGGGGTACAAATGACTTACACGCCTTAAAAGAGGGTCTCAATGGGGTGCTGGCTTTTACGGTTATCGGCTAAAATTTTGGCTCTTTTACGGCTATTGGCTAACTTTTAACAGTTACGGTTAACAAAAAAGTTAAAAATTAATTTCTTTGGTTCCGAAAGGTTAAATATTAATAAACCTGTGTTTTTTTAATCTTTAAAGCAAAATAAAGGTGTTATGGTCATCTCAGGCTTAAATGAGTTATTCTTTGAAAAAAGTTAATATTTGATAAATCATACCACTTCTAATATTATTTTACGCTAGAATTGTGAACTACGAAAAAGGATTCAATACAAGGCCATACACAACTTAACTTACGTCATGCATTCTTACATTTACTTGTAGGAGTGGTGACCTGCTTGTCCTTATATGGT